GATAAAGAGAATGGCAATGGTGGACAGTAGTAACACACTTAAGAATTATTCAATAATAAATACAAATTCGTCCTTCACTTATGGTAAAGGAAAGTCTACTTGGAAGGATTCAATTTACATGAGATTAAGATTAGGATACAAATATATCTGGCAATACGGTGTTGATGTCAGTGAAAAAGATAAGGAGTGTAAATTATGTAGTATGCCGCACGCCCACACCTTAGAACATTATAATAATAATAATAATAATTTTATTTAGGTAAGGTACATACATAAAGAGATTTTACAAAGATTGTTGGCTTTATAGATAGAGCTAGTACATACAATGCCTAAAGCCACTATTACGCAAAGCGTTTCGGGCAGGAAAAACATTAATGACTAAAGCTTAAAACTAATGGGTAAAAAGAATAAGATGTGTTGAGTACAAATAAAAATAGAGGTAAAAGAGGGGGGAACATTGTTGAAAAAGCAGCACAAATACAATTACAAATTAATACAGAAAATTACATTCAAACAGCGTTGATTTGAAAAACAAAAAAAAACAAAAAACATACATGGGTTGACAACAGAGGGGTAAGGTGAGTTACAGGGAATTTATTAGGTATAGCTTCGTTTTTAACTTAAACTGGTTGAGAGAGGTACAGCCTTTAACATGGTTGGGAAGGTCATTCCACATTCTGGGTCCCTTGATTTGTAGAGCATTTCTAGTTTGATTAAGTCGTACTCTAGGAATATCAAAACTGTATTTATTTCTGGTGTGGTGCTCATGGGTTCTGTTACAACCTTCTATGAAGCTTTTGAGATCAGGATTGGCATTATAGTTTAGCGTTTTATATATGTATAATACACATGAGAGAATGTGCAGTGACTTAATGTCTAACATATTCAGAGATTTGAGTAGGGGTACCGAGTGATGTCTGGGGCCAGAATTGGATATTGTCCTAATAGCAGCTTTGTGTTGAGTAATTAGAGGACGTAAGTGATTTTGGGTAGTAGAGCCCCAAGCACAAATACCATAGTTGAGATATGGATAGATAAGGGAGTAATAGAGAGTCACCAGGGCAGGGCGTGGTACATAATATCTGATCTTAGAAAGAATGCCCACAGTTTTTGAAACTTTTTTTAATATGTTTAGAAAGTGTCCCTGGAAATTCAGCTTGTGGTCAATGAGAATGCCAAGGAATTTGCCATCTAATTTGTTACAAATTTGGGTATTGTTTATTTTGAGATTTATTTGATTAGAGGATTTATTGCCAAACAGAATATAGAAAGTTTTGTCAATGTTAAGGGTGAGTTTGTTGGCAGTTAGCCACAGATGGACTTTATTAAGCTCAGTATTTACTGTGGCATTTAGAGCAAGGGGATCAGGACTGGAGTAAATGAAGGTTGTGTCGTCAGCAAATAGAATTGGTTTGAGGTGTTGGGAGGCATTTGGAAGATCATTAATGTAGATGAGAAAGAGGACAGGGCCAAGTATGCTGCCCTGGGGAACACCAATGTTGATGGGTAGGGTGGGAGAAATTGTATTATTCACAGAAACACATTGGAGCCTGTCAGTAAGGTAGGATTTGAGGTATTGTAGGGAGTGTCCTCTGACACCATAATGATGTAATTTAAGAAGAAGGTTTTGGTGGTTGACAGTATCGAAAGCTTTACGCAGGTCCACAAATAACCCAACAGGGAACTCATTTTTATCAAGAGCTGTATGAATCGAGTTAAGCATACTAATAAGTGCATCGTTAGTGCTTTTTTTGGGCCTGAAGCCATATTGGCAAGGGCTAAGTATATTGAGTTTGGCTAGATATGAGTAAAGCTGCTTATAGATTAGTTTTTCAAAAATTTTTGACAAGTTTGACATTATGTATTAGAGTGTCAACTTATTGATAACTATAGAAATAAGGAAATAAATAGTGTACCACATCAAATTGTTTGGATGTGTGATAATGGTATAATAGACAGTATACTTAGGAGCTACAAGAATTTTGCCCCAAGAGTGTAACAATTATATGCTGTACTTACTATATTAACCTGCAATGTTAAATGGGATTCTTGTAATGTTATTTGTCTATTTGTACTCACTGAATTTGTGTGCCCCTTGAGGGACTTGAAGTAGAGGGGGGTAGAAATAGCCTAAGCTACTCTATCCCTTTGAGATGTATTTATTGTTTATCTCAATAAACATACTTGAACTTGACAGACAGACCCGGGTAACATTGAGCACCCTCCATAGTAGGGTCACAAACTCATGGAACCGCTTACCCGCCGAAGCCGTAAATGCTAAAATACTGCTGCAGTTCAAAATCCAATTGGATAAAATCATCGGGACAAATGGAGTAGACGTTTGAAAAGCCGCCGGCTTCCTGCCCCACATTGTGACCAGGAGAGAGATAGTGGCCCGCAAGTAAATTGTGCCCTCTGGGGCATAATTTGAATTTTGCTAGTGTTGCACCTCCCACTCATCCAGTGGCGAGCAGCCGTGAGAAGGCGGCTACTTGCTACAATTTGAAAAGTTGGAATAATTGACGAGATATGGTACGGCATGTTTCCTTTCATCTAATGCCTCTGTTCACGTAGTAGTAAATAGGTTCAAGTATGTTTATTGAGACAAGAAAGAAATACATCTCAAAGGGATAGAGTAGCTTAGGCTATTTCTTAGTAAATAGGTACCCAGGAGTTATTTATTTACTTATTTATATATATACAAGAAGGTACATTGGGTTTATGAGAGAACATTAACTCCCTCCACACATTCTCTTGTGTCAACTACATTTACAAAACCCTGTTCTTAAATGCAAACCATGCTCTGAAACTCTCCCTGGACAGATGTAATAGGACCCATTATCACCACACCAGAAATAAATATCTCTTTGATATCCCCAGGGTCAAACTTAATCTGTGTAAACACTCTATGCAAATTAAGGGACCTAGTCTATGGAACTCACTCCCTAGTGAATTGAAAAACTGTAAAACTTTTGCCTTATTTAAAAGCAAAACCAAAAAGTACCTAACTTCATCTATTTAGTTTCCTACACTGAGCTTTAAATTTGCTCTGTACCTAGTGTTACCCAATCTCCTAATTTTTATGTAATATCAAACAACCTTATCATTGTGTTCATTGCTGTCTTCTTTTATGTGCTAGCCATATGCTGTATGGTGACTACCAATTTTTTGTCAACTACCATTCAAGCTGTCATTGCAATCAATCTTATATTGTTTCTGCTGTATTGTGCCTACCAATTTGTTGTCAACTACCATTTTAAGCTGTCATTGCAATCAATCATAGCTACCTATGTGCTTTAATATACTGTACCTATAATTTTCTCTCATCTTTTTTTTCATTCCATGTAATCTGTTATCATTTTTTGTCTATAAATTTTGCAAGTATTTACCTCCTTAAAATTTTCTTAGATTAAGGACCTGCCCGAAACGCTGCGCGTGCTAGTGGCTTTACAAGACTGTAATTACCATATTTGTATCCTCACATTCCTTATGTACATTCTTGTATATGCATAAATAAATAAATAAATAAATAAATAACATTGCATTGATGTTTTTTATGATCTTGTAAAGCCACTAACAAGCATACCGTTTAGGGCAGATAATTTTTAGTAGGTAATTTGTAGCAAAATTTAAATTTTGTTAACAGGTACATTTTAAGAAAATTTGACAAAGATTATTAGGTATATTAAAGTGTAACGGTTCTATTGTTACGTAAAGTATGGTGACAAATAAACACAGACACTAAGATACTATATATATATTTGGTCGAATATACAGACGTACACAGGTGATACTTTGGTGTGAGTTGAGCGCACTGAGCGTCGGTACAGTATCTCGCAAGTGTCTGCTCTAGACCACACTTGTCGCTACAAAAGTAAAATTTGAGGGTTATCATCAGTTACCATGCTACAATGTAAGTGTTGATAACCCTAAAATTTTACTATAATGTACCTACTAATCTTTGTCAAATATTCTTACAATGTACCTGTTAATTTTTTTCAATTTTGCTACAAATTACCCACTAAAAATTTTATGTTAGATTAAGGACCTCCCAGAAACGCTATGCTTGTTAATAGCTTTACAAGAATGTAAAACATCAATGCTATGTACTCTTATAACCCATTGTACCTTCTTGTATATAAATAAATAAATAAATAAAAATAAATAGCGGTACATTGTAGTTAGGCAACTATTGTGGGGATGCATCGTGGGGTCAGTATAGTTTGGCCTTGATGGGAGGATCTTGATATAAACCTAAGGTATATGTATACATGCTTCCTGTCCCCAACAAAACCATTATATTATTATAATATTATAATAATAGGCTTCCTATCCTGCACAACAAGAAATATATGTTACAGAAATTGTCTCTGAAATCATTTGCCTTTTCGCACTCCATCGCATAGAGACAGAGGATGTGCCAATAATTTTGCTGACACACTTTGCATTTGGTCAGGTCTTCATCAGCAGGTAATACAAGCGCCCACAGATATAAGGGCTGGGTGTATAGACGTGTTTTTATGGTGTCCGGCTTAAATTAAGGTCTACCTACCACACTCGTTTGTTGAAAAACCGATAAATATAACAGCGTTGTTAACGTTGATCAATTATAACTATAGTTGAGGTATATCTGTTGATATGAATGTTTTTAATATATATTTTTGTATAAGCGGGATATCCTATATGTATATCCTCATTTAGCATTTTCTATTTATAACCGCTCAGAATATTTATATAAATATTACATATATTATACGTAATATCTCAATCAATTTGCCAAGAATAATGTTTAATAATTTTTTACTGTGATCGTGTACAGTGATAATTAGTATGTTTAGTGAATTACATGTAAACTATAATTAAAAATAAATATCATAATCTTTCGGAATTCAAACGCTTTATTTTCCCAAAAAACTGAACATTAGTTCCTAGCAAGGCTAAGTACATAACCTTATACACTCTCATATAAAAGTAAATTACATCATTGGAGTGCGATATAGGCAAGATAGTGGTAGCAGCGATGAATCTAGATGAGTTTTTTGGGAGATATATATATGTATATACAAGGGAGAGAGGGTTGAGTGGGTGAGCAGCCTGGCGAGGAACTAGCGGCCGCTGGTGTCTCCCGGACGAGGTGGGTGGCAGACGCGTGGATTCTTGGCTTCCCATTTCCAAACGGGAATTACGAAGACGAGAATAATATTTATGGTGATATTGGTGATGGTGGCGGTGAGGGAAGGCGTCAAGTGTCTTGCAAGAGGGTCGGGGCGAGGTGTTGCTCTCGGATATGCTACTTGTGAGGGTGTTGTTGCCTTCGGTTTTAATTGTGTAGGTTAGCAGACGTGTCATGGAATTATTTGGCGTAGTTTGCCCTTTAGCTGTTTATTTTTGGTGGTCTTGTCGAGTAATGGTAAACGTTTGTGAAGGATGGTGAGGTGTGGGTGACGGAGAACGTGTTTCTTCACTCACACAAACTGCAAGTTTCCTCTGTTTTCGACTGGAAACATTTGTACATTGAGTTGTCGTGCCTTGTCTCACCTTGTGTGGGCTCGGTGCCCCTCGCCTCTCCTTACATTGTATAACCTTTTAATGCAGGTAAAGTTGGGTGGGAGCGGGGCAAGACAATGTGATGCCAGTTACATTGTCAGTTGGTGCGTGTCTGTGAAGGGTTCTCACTGACTCTCGCCAGTAAAGGTCCTGCTCTATGTGCTCTCCTAATCCCAGGTTCCTCTCATCACATTTCAATACAAAATCTGTTACGAGGTTAAGAGTGGACTCAAAGTTTGTGTTCTACTTCAAGGCAAATGTGGGGGAACCTTCGACAAGCTGCTGGCTAGCTGTCCCTGTCGACGCCACTAGTGTTAGTGGCCTTCGGGTAAGATCTCGTCCCAATATTTTAGACGAGACCTTATTTTTTACGTGGGGTAGCCGTCCTCGTGCCACTGCTTAGTGTGAGAAATGCAAATTAAGCTCCGTTGCTACAGCCACAGTGTGTGATGGAGGATGTTCCTACAGTGAGGCCTCTCATGCTCTCATATCTGGAGTAACGGGATGGCTGGGTGCGGCGGATTTGTTTTTATTTTATTTATTTTGTATTTATTTATATATACAAGAGCTCTTACATCCTTGTAAAGCCACTAGCATGCATAATGTTGTGTGTTCACGCTTGGGGTCTTGTTACCTCCGTGTCCTTAGAGAGACATTGAAAGGTGGAGCTAGAGCACATTCTCCAGGCCTTATTCCTAAATATGACCTGGCATAGCCTGTCTGCTTAATACCCTCGGCCATGGTTTGTGGCCAACTTTGGCTCATTTGCCCCAGACGGACAAAGGCATCAACCACCCCCCCTCATGTTTATTGGTTCATTCACTGGGAACTTTGATATTAAAGTGCAGATGATCGTAGTGTATTATGTTTCATTGGTGGTATTTTACATTAATTTGGAGATAAAGTACAGTACTGAATAGCATTTAATTTTTGTGTCCAGACGAAGTTGCCATGGCACCAGTATTGGGCCACATTATTGCTCATAGGGGACTAATGCAATTTTTAAGTCTTGTAGCACAGTTGGCTTTGTTCTCAACTCACAAATTGGGAATCCTGGGTTTCATTCTCAGGCAGGACAGAACTGGTTGGGCATGTTTCCTGTCCCCGAATCTCTTTGCTCACCAAATAATAAATTGGTACCTGGGAGTTAGGCAAGTGTTGTAGGGTTACATCCTGGTGAGATTCAGTAGCAGAAGTGGAGTCAGAAATCCAGTTCACACCTATTTACCATAGCAAGGACTGTAACTGGGCTTCTGCTTCAGTTAACTGAGAGGTCTTGGTGTGACTCATTGCTGACAAACACTCATTGAAATTAAATAATTCAAAAAATTAACCATTTCCTACATATACTGTGTATATTTTTATTTTAATTCATTGTGTCAGGGGACAGGAAGCCAGAGTGTATTCATACACATTAGGCTTTATATTGAGGTCCCCCCCCCCACTAAGGTCAAATTACTGATCCCACCTAGGATGCAACACCCACAGCAAGGTGACTAACTCCTGAGTACCTACTTAATGCTAGGTGAACAGATGCGTTAGGTGATAGGAAATGCAACCATCCAGTGCAGTGGCTACCAGTCTCCGTGGTGTAGTGGTAAGACACTCGCCTGGCATTCCGCGAGCGCTTTGTCATGGGTTCGTATACTGGCCGGGGAGGATTTACTGGGCGCAAATCCTTAACTGTAGCCTCTGTTTAACTCAATAGTAAAATGAGTACTTGGTTGTAAAAACGATTCTTCGCGGCGGGGATCGTATTCCAGGGACCTGCCCAAAACGCTACGGTACTAGTGGCTGTACAAGAATGTACAGTCATTAGTTCTCAATTGTGAGTTGAGAATGACCCCGACTGTACTACCGGGACCCTTAATATACGAGTACACACTAAAAGTACACTTCACGCATTAAAAGACCATTTCAAGTACCCTGTATTCTTAACATGTTTTTATTAGAATACAAATAATTTGGGAAACATTATTTTCTTCAGACACCTAGAAGAAGCAATTAATGCAAGTAATTGATTGTTACACTGTAGCAGTAATGAAATACCTCCCCTGTGGGTTGTGTGACCCCTTTGTTCAAGTGCAGTCTCTGGCTCTTTCTTCACCTCTGATTTGTTTTCCCTTTTCTAAAGTTATATTTTTTGAATGGACAGTTTTTACTTTTTGTTAACCTATTTTGAATTAAAGGCAGGAATAATTATGTATTCCAATTGGGGTGTGCTAAAAAACTTGAGAGTTCATAATATAGTATGTAACTTGTACTGTATTGCAGTTATTTACCAACCTGAATTAACCTGAGGACCCCCATCTCTAGTGACCTTGGCTCAGACAGAAAGACAGCAGCTTGTCCAAGCCCCCCCCCAAGCCAAATTGAAACCTGAAACCTTGGTTTAAGGTTTTATGGTTAATGATCTGGTCATTATTTTGTGTAAATATGACCTTTGTATCTTAACATCATATTTCATTTTTGTCAGTATTTAATATCTACAAAAACGAATTGTATTACTGTAAAGATATGTGGATCTAATGCTGATAAACAATACTTCTATATACATTATTGTATAATTCTCTTTTATAAAATTGTTTGCTCAATTTATGTATAGTCTCAATTCTTTTCAGATACCATCTTTTGTGAGCAATGATGTCATAGCTACTCAACTGGAGAGAGCCATTCGAGTGAAAGGCTCTCGGCACTGGAATAAAAATATTACGATAAGCACACAACGGACGGCAAGAGTGCCAATCGTTGGTTAAATATGCCAGAAAAACTAAATAAAGCTGCTACAAATCGCAAGCGCAAGCAACTTTGCAATGACAAGAAATCCAACATGGACAAAAAAGGCAGAGGAATTCCAAAGAAAAGTAGAAAAGAAGACAAAGGTGCTTCGAGTAGTCCAAAGAAATGTAACCAAAAAAGTAAGGGAGCATGTGTTACTCCGGACAAATGCAACAAAGAAGAGAGATTAGTGCCTAGTGTTGCAGATGACTGTAACAAGCAAGCAAGAGGAGTATCTAGTGCCAAAATAAAACTCGTAAACAAGCGAAAGCAGCTGACTCAAAAGACAGTTGCCACTGTACGTCCCTCTAAAACCGTCAAGAAACCATCACCAAAGAAAACTCCGAAGAAAAGCCCTGGACATGAAAATGTTGAAGAGCCAACTGTTGAAGCAGACAAAAAGACTCGTGGGCAGAGGAAGAAGAAAATACTCCATCCCCTCACCATTGAGCTTAGTCAGGACGATGAGTATAGTGACATTGATTATGAGTCTCCGTCGGAGGAGTATCAACCTCCAAAATGGTTACATGATGATGATGATGATGATACTTGGGGTGATTCAGAAGAAGGTACAAAAAGTCCTAAGAAAAAAAAGATGGCAAAAGAAAAAGATAAGAATAATGATGAGCAGCCTAAGAAGAAAAAGCAAAGAAAAACTAAGCAAAATAAGAATAGGGAGATTCTTGAGAAAACTAGAAGAATTGGCACTGGTGTTAAAAGAAAGAGAAGGTTAATTAAAAGTAGATTAAACACTGAGCCCGAAGCAAGTGCCTTCCCAGATATGCCCGATCTTTTAGCAGATGATATCACACAATCAACAGGAGGCAAGCCTAAAAAGAAGAAAAGAAGGCTAAAATCTAATTTGGCAAAGATGAGGGACTCGATGAATCGAAGTACATCTGATCAAGATGATCTTGCTCTGATGGAGGAGAAGGAAGATGATATTCAAGAATTCGATGTATTGAAATCCAGAAAGTTGTCAAAATATGGTCAGCCGTATTCCGTTACGGGTGAGTTTTTATTTTCTTGTGTGTTTTCTTCATATTAAACATCTTACATTTAAATGAGTATAGTACTGTACTGTAATTTAAGGGAAACACAAATGTTTGTGCTTCTTACACCTACAAATTATGGAACCAGCTACAGTATTACTGTTCATTTGTAAGTTTTCTGCCTGTTTATGTGTTGCTGATGCATATTTTCCATAAATATTACTTAATTGCAAATTCATACCTGATTTGAACTAATAATTCCTGCTACCTTAGGGATCATGTTTCTTGGAAGATGCCAGGAATAGTATGGTTTCTATAAAAGTATGTCAAACACTGAATCCAAGTTTCTAAGAAAGTATGTCACTGAAACCAAGGTTTTTTAAAAGTAGGTCAATAAACCATAAAAGTACATCAAGGTTGCAGACAAGGAGTCACAATAACGTGGCAGAAATATGTTGACCAAACCAAACACTAGAAAGTGTAGGGACGACGACGTTTAAGTCCATTCACTTTCTAGTGTGTGGTTTGGTCAACATACATCAAGGTTATTTTCTTCAACCACAATTTTCTGGGGGGAGCCCTGTCGGCTCCCCGGAGCTATCCAGGCTGACTGGATATGTATAACTTTCTGGCATTAGTCAATGCATGGAGTTCTTGCCTACCGGGGACCACGAGCCAGAACCTGGCCCCCCTCTAGAGAGGCATGAGGAGCAATGGCCTATAGAGACTCCCCCCTTATGATTGGGAGCATTCTATGTCTGCTATCGACCGGGATAGGCACCCAGAAAGATAGGCACCCCAAAACAAACCCCTATTCTGGTAAACTATTGCGACCGAAGACCGAACAGGTGGACAGAACTCCCCAAACGAAAATTAGCAAACAAGCATGACGTCATCATGTCGCCGCGCTGCTGTCTGCGCAACCCTCCCACCTCCCCGGGAAGGGAAAGGGGGAGCCCCAGACCCCACCGTCGGCTACCCAACCATTAGTTCTTAGGCTGATGGGATCTGATGTGCCGTCGTGCCTCTGGCTCCAGTTTCCATTGCAGTTCTGTGCCTTGTGGTGTGAGCTGTCCCTTCCGGTGGTGTGTGGGCCAGGAGTGATATTCCACTGTGCTCGGGCTGCATGTGCCTAGGGTCACCTTCCCTAGGTGCCCTGTAAGTACTGCCCTTGGGGCTTAGGGCCACCTTCCCTGGGTCATCTTGGGGTCTACCTCTGCTGTGCCGTGTACTGCTCGGTACATGGCTGCCTTTGGGGTCAGCTGGGGTTTTTTCTTGCCCTTGTTTGTCTCTGGGTAGGGGGTAGTTTTCGTCACTGGCAGGGGCACGGGGTACTGTACAGCTAGTTTTCACCATTAACAGCGGCTGGCTCTGTTCCGCCCGGGTACATTGTCCTCTTGCGGGGTTTTTCTTTTGTTTATGTTTTCTGCCTGGTGGGGGGGTGGGGGTCTGCCTGTTGGTCCCCCATCGCTGTTCTTGGGGTATATCTATATCTTTATTTCTCCATTTTGTGTTGGTGGTCCTCCCCGCTTGGCCCCCGTGAGTGTACATGTCCCGGGAGTTCAGCTATAGCAGTTTGTTTGGTAGTTTTGGGAGCCAGTTCGCAGTACCCTGCCTGGGCTTCCCTTAGTGTGTACCCAAGGCTACGGATCCTGGAAAACCCCACGGGGGCTACGTGGTTCGATGGATGTGACCCCTGAGTCCCCCCTCGCATCCTGTGAGTTTGACGGTTGCTCTGTCCCCTTGTCTTAGGGGGACACTCACCGGTTTGCCTCCGCCATGCTGCCTGTTGGGTCGGTGATTGTTTTGACCCGGAGTCGTGCGACGTGTGTTGTCTATACATACTCCAATTCACCCAGGCTACTGTGCCTGATATGCGGGTGAGGGCAACTGAGGCATTGCATGCTCGCTTGAGGTTGCTGCAACGAGCTAGGTTGGTTGCTGCCCCAGATTCCCCGAGACTGCCCCGTTTTGGTTATAGGGACCTGGACTTGGGGGTGGGAGTCGCTTCGTCTCTAGTTCTGTCCGCCCCTCCAAGCCCTTCCCCTTCTGTTGCCCATTCGGTCCCCCCCTTCCCCTTGCTGCCGGCTCCTAAATGTCTGACGGTTTCAGAGCCGGGGCTGGGTATAGTTGGTTGTGAGACTCGGGCGGTCTCGGGGGTGTCCCCTTCTGGGGCGGTGGCGGAGGCATTCGAGCCTGGTCCTTCTGCCGGAGCTTCTGAGTCTGGCCAGTGGACCCCCTTTGTTCCTGCTTTTTTGGCTGCGCCCACCTTTTCTTTGGAGGTGGGGGGCTCAGGAGGACGGCTCGGCCGCAGGCCCTCTGGGTGAGGTTCCTGGGGTTGGGGAGGATCCGCGTTCCTTTGTGTACAGATCCCCTGGTTCGTGCTGGTTTCGTTATGAAGTTCCAGAGTCGTCCTGGTTGGCAGACTGTCCTCTCTTTTCGTTGGAGGCTTGGCACACGTTCCGTCGGTCCCGCGCACTTGAGTGGCGAGAGGTTTCTACGGCATTACAGGTTTTCCTGGGGGGTGACTTTGAGCATCTTAATGCGTGTTTGTTAGCCCTTGCCCTTCCGCGGGATGTTGGTGTCATGCAGCTTCACGTGCAGGTTCCCTCCCTCTTGACTGCCTTGGTTGCGGAGGATTTGCTGACTCGTGGCCTGCTTGCTTTGGTTCTGCGTTGCTTTTCCTTCCTTGAGCTGTCCTCAGATTGGCTCGAGTTGGATATGGGAGCACTTGGGGCCGCTGTCGGGTCCAGTGCGCTGCCCTCTGCTGTGCGGGCGTCGTCTGCTTTGTTGAAGCTCTTCGCGTCCATCCTGCGTGATGCGGTTTCGCGGTTCTATGCTTCTCGCCTCACGTGTCGTCAGGCAGTGCTGGCTTCTTCCTTGGAGTCCGCCTGGGCCCTGGCTCTTTGTTTGTCTTCACCCTTTTGTCCGTTGCTATTTGCGGAGTCTGCTGTGGTGCAGTATCTGCAGGCAGCCTCGGTCAGTTGTCGGCCTATGTCTGAGTTGTTGTTGCTCCGGGGGGCTCGCGGGGTGCCTTCCCGGAAGGGTTGTGCCAGGGCTCGGGGGTCTTTTCGTATGGTTAGGCCTTTAGTGCCGGATTTGGGGCTGGCGGCACCTTCGGTTCCGGCTGTTGCTGGTCGGCGTGGGGACCGTCCTGTTCGCTGCTTAGGTTCTCGCAAGGCGCGTCAACCCTTTCACGGTTTGTCCCATTGACGGGGTGGAGGGGGGGAGGCTTGCCCAGTTTGCTCATGCCAGGTGCCACGATTTGTGGGCTTTTCGGATCGTTTCGTGCGGCCTGTGGTGGCGCTGGGTGGCTCTTTCTCCCTCGGGGGGGGGGGGGGGGGTTGAGGCTGGCCTCTTCTCCTGCACTCTGTCGGGTCATCTCAGAGTGGGTTTGCTTGGGCGTGGTCGAAACGACGTCATCCCTCAGTTGGGTTTCCCGCCTGTTTCCACCTCCGGTTCATTCTGGACTTGTCCCGTCTGAACCCGTGCGTTTTGTGCCCCTCCTTTCGGATGACTACGCTGTCCCAGGTCCGTCTTCTTTTGGAAACGGGTGCTTGGATGGTGTCCCTAGACCTCAAGACGCGTATTGGCACATCCCGGCTCATCGGGGGTTCAGGGACTGGCTCGGTTTTGTTGTGGGGCGTCAGGGTTACCGCTTTCGTTGTCTTCCCTTCGGGTTCAATCTGGCACCTCGCGTTTTCACACGCCTTACTTAGGTCGTGGTGACCCGCCTGCGTCTGCTAGGTGTTCGAGTGCTAGCCTATCTCGACGATTGGCTGGTTTGGGCTCCCAGCCGGTCCGCGTGTCTGTTCACCAAGGATTTGGTTCTTTCCCAGCTCGCCGGGTTCGGGTTCTTGGTGAACTGGAGGAAGTCCCATCTGGTTCCATCTCAGGTTCGGTCTTGGCTGGGTCTGGTTTGGGATGCTCGCACTGCTTCCTTGTCTCTTCCTCCGGCGGCTCTCTTGCGCCTGCAGTCCCACCTTCGCCCGTTTCTGAGGGGTTCCCGGGTCACGAGGTGGTTGTTCGAGAGTTTGTGCGGGAGCCTGAACTTTGCCATGATGGTCTACCCACCGGGTCAGGTGTGGCTTCGTCAGCTGTTCTGGTTCCTTCAGGGCCGGCCCTTCCGCCTCTCTCGCGATCGTTGGGTTTGGCCTCTGCTTGATCGTCGCTGATCGACGATCAGGCTCCATTTGGACTGCATCCCGGTGGTTCATTGCCTGAACTGCGGGGGTTCGATGCAGTCCTTGGCTCTTTGGGGCTGGTCGCTTCAGGTGACTCGTCTGCTGAGTTCTCGGGGTTTGGCTCTCCTGGCGGTTTATGTCCGGGGAAGTGTCCAACGTCCTGGCGGACGGCCTGTCCCGGTTCCTGCCCCGGTTCCTGCGCCTTTCCACGGAATGGACGGTCGATGCCGACTCCTTCAGTTGGCTGTGCCGGACGTTCGGGACTCAGGACGTGGATCTCTTTGCGTCGGCGTGGTCGAAGCATCTCCCGGTATACGTGGCGCCCTTCCCCGACTGCGAGGCCGTCGGGGTCAATGCCTTCAGGCAGGACTGGGCGAGGTGGGGTTACCTGTACCTCTTTCCCCTGGTTCCGCTGTTGCTCCAGGTCCTGACTCGCTTGGAGACTTACCGAGGTCGAGTTGTCTTTCTGGCTCCTTGGTGGCTGGCCCAGCCTTGGTTTCAGGCGCTGCTTGCTCGGTGTCCGAACCCGAGGGTCTTCCCCTGGCTCCACCTCTTTCAGCGCATTGGTCCAGCCCTGTACGAGGCTGATTCGGTCTTCTCCTTGCGTCTTCCTAGTTGATTACCTGGTTGTGTTACGGCCCTCTCGGGACGCAACTGGGTCCTTACTCTGATGTTGTTAGAGGAAGATATATATATCCGTTCCCAAGCCAGTAGTGGCTATCAAGGGATGTGATCCGTGACGCAAGTAACTTAAAGGGAGTAGGGAAAGAAAGTTAAGAACTTAATATTATAATTATCACCATCACCAATTAAATATATAAAATCAAAGAGTGC